CACACTTCAAATGTGATCATATTCCGAAATCAACTAATCGAGACTTTCCATGGGTGTATCACAGTTCCTCTCCCATTTCTAAATCCATAGGTGTTAGTTTGATTGGCAGTGCAGTGCCGTGGTCGTTGTGTCTCGTTGCGGTTGGACCCACTTGGCTGTTATCTGTTGCTTAAGGGCACGATTCAGGGAGTGCAGTATACCTTCGTCAACATCTATTTCCCCAGTGTGAACCAGGTTCAATTCTTACATGCTCTGCTACCCATTCTTTTGGGCTTTGTCGAGGGGACCTTGATTTTTGGGGGGGATCTTAATTTTGCAATGGATCCCTTGTTGGATGTTTCTCGGGCTCCTCTCATCATTCCTATGTTTGTCTCTGATGCTTGAAGGGTGACTTACAGCTCTTACGCTTAGTTGACCTATGGCATCTACTGAATCCCCAGGGTCGGGACTACTTTTTTTTTTTTTTTTTACCTCCCCTGTTCACCATACCTATATCCCCGTCTCGACTATCTCTTGATCTTGCACTCAGCTATCCCTGCGGTGCTCACCTCACAGATTGAGGTTTTCTACTTCTCTGACCATGCTCCGGTTCAACTTATCCTTCGACTAGACCCATTTACTGAAGGTATCTGGGGATTGAATGAGACCCTCCTTCAGTCCCCAGATACCTTCAATGCCTTAGTACAGCTCTAGGGAGTATTTTGCGACTAATACTGATTCGGTGGCCGACCCCCTCGTGGTTTGGGAGGCCCACAAGCCAGTGATTAGGGGCCTTTTGATTCGTGCAGGAGCACATCTCAAGCAAGAGCGTTCTTGTCAGATTGACAGCCTACTGCAAGACCTTGGCAGGTTGGAGCGCTCCCATAAAGCGTCTTTGGCGCATGCCACCTATCTAGAACTCTCCAGAGTTCTGAGGACTTGCGATCCCTTCTCTATCTCAAGACCAAACAAAAATTGCTCTATGTATGAATTTTCAAATACACTGGGCACTTTGCTGGCAAGGGCTCTTCGGGGCCCCCGAACCTACATTCCACATGTCCAAAATTCAGAAATTGACTAAGTCAGCCGATATTGCTGCCGAATTTCATAGATATTATCGTGATCCCTACAATTTAGGCCATTCTTCAGCGAGATTCCCCCACCCCCCCACAGGGGGCACCTTCCCCTCACTCCTATATTTCGGCCTCGGGTATACCGTCTCTTACTTGCAACTTGGAGTGGCTTTGGCTCAGTCAAAGCCCAAGAATGCCTCTAGGCCTGATGGATTTACTCTGACCTATTACCAGACCTTTCTTGATGTCCTCTCTCCCCATTTCATCTCGGCTCTCAATTCCATTGTCCAGGGACACCCTTTGCCTTGTGATACCCTCAGGGCGTACATCTCTTTGATACCTTAAGAGGGCAAAGACCCTTCCAGGTCTGGGAATTACAGGCCGATTGCTCTGCTGAACTCTGATCTGAAATTATTTACCAGGATTTTGGCAAACAAGCTGTTACCACACTTATTGTCTCTCATTCACCGGGAGCAGGCTGGGTTTGTCCCTCTATGGGAACTGAGAGACAACACTACGAGAGTCCTTAACCTTATCCATTCAGCCAGAACCTCCCGCCACCTCCTTCTGCTTTCTACAGATGCGGAGAAGGCCTTCAACAGGGTCAGTTGGTGGTTCATTATGTCCACTTTGCGTCATATTGGCCTGGGACCAGCTATGATGTCTTGGATTTCCTTTCTCTACTCTTGCCTCTCTGCGGCCATTAAGGTTAATGAGACTAGGTCGGGCTTTTTTGACATAACAAATGCCCCCTTTCTCCATTGATTTTTGTGCTTTCCTTGGAACCTTTTCTCTGCACAATTCGGAGAGATCCAAATATTCCTGGCTTACTCAAGCCCTCTGGGGCTCATAAAGTGGCTGCCTTTGTGGACGATTTGATATTTGTTTTAACTGACCCGCTTACCTCCTTGCCGGCCCTGGTAGATGCTTTACGTGTCTTCGGTTTTCTGTCCTTCTTTCAGATTAACTTTTCCAAATCTGCTGCCCACAATATTACGATTCCGGATGCTGTGGTGAGTCAGCTTCGTCCTATGTTCCCCTTTCGCTGGGCATCTGAGTCTAACTGTTATCTTGGGGTCCATATTGCTCCTTACCCTGCTGCTCTTTACTCAGCCAACTTTGAACCGCTTCTACAGCGTACGAAAACAGATTTATTGCGCTGGTATTCTCTTGTTCTTACATGGTTTGGGCGGTGCAGTGCCCTCAGGATGACGTTGCTCCCCCGGATCTTCTACGTCCTCCAGGCCCTCCCCATTCGCTTGCCTCCTCTCTTTTTTTAACAAAATTCATGCTCTCTTCTGAGACTTTGTTTGGTCTCATCGGAAACCTCGTCTGTAATTTCGGCACTTATATTTACTTAAGTGCCTCAGCAGTGTGGGTCTCCCAGATGTCCAGGCTTATTACAGAGCAGCTCACCTGACGAGACTGGTGGACTGGCACTGTCATGCTGAGACGAAGCTCTGGGTGTTGGAGGATACGAGGGGGCACTGCCAGAAGCTGGCCCTGAATTTGGTCGAAACTGCCTAGAACCTTGTTGGATCACCCTACTCTGGGCAGTACTTTGTTGGTGTCCCGCGAGACTTTTCGTAACTCCTCCCTTTCCAGCTGCCCTCTTCTATGCTCCCCGTTCTGGGAAACCTTGAGTTTTCTCCAGTTTGGAGGACCAACCGTTCCACTGCTTGGAGGCCTCGGAGCATTCATACTTTCGATTTCCTGGATGTGGATGGTAATCTTGCTCCTTCTGCTTTCTCGACGGCTGCAGATCCTCCGTTGGCCTTCTGGCACAGCCTGCGACTCCGTACCTTCCGAAAATGCTCTCATTCTCCTGGGATCAGCCGTCGTCTTACGCTCTTGGAAAATATCTGTCATAAGAGGAAGCACATTAGGCATTGTCTTTCCATTCTTTACTCTGCCTTGCTCAATCCACAAGATGACTTTCAACCTTCCTTTCTCGCTCACTGGGAAGCTGATTTAGGTCTTTGCCTTATGGAAACACATAAAATGAACATTCTACATTTTGCACAGAAGTCTTCCATTGCATTCAGGGTTCAGAAAACCGTTTATAAGATTTTAACCCGATGGTATACGGTCCCTATTACCCTTCACCGTATTTTCCCGCAGGTTTCGGATCTATGCTGGCATTTGTGGGCTTGAGCGTGGTGCGATGTCTCATATCTTCTGGACTTGCTCTAAGATTCAACCTTTTTGGCAGATGGTAGCCGATACCATCAGGGCTCTGGCGAGTGTTGACGTGGCCTGCGACCCTGCGGCATGCTTGCTGCACCTTGCTGATCATCCTATCAAAAAATATAAGGTTTCCTTGACTATTCAACTGTTCAATGCGGCCAAGGCTTGTATCCCTCTGTGTTGGAGGTCTGTGCATCCACCCAGGAGGTCCCTTTGGTTCTCTAAGGTCAACGAACTGCAAGATGTGGAGGACCTCACGGCCTCTCTGTATGACCGTGGGGAGGTGTTTAGAGATACTTGGAGGCCCTGGCAATATTTTGTTTACACCGATGCTTATCTTCGGGTATCCCCTTGATTTGGCTCGTGTTGGCCACATGCCAACTGTCTGATTGGTTTGGGGTCTGTCCGGGCCCTTGGGTGGTAGGGGAAACTCTTTTTTTTTTTTTTTTTTTTTTTTCTTGTTACCCTTTTTGTTATCTCCCCCCCCCCTTTTTTTTTATTGGCCCTTTTCCGTTGGGGGGGATATACTGTATGTGTATGTATGTGTGTATGTGTATATGTGTATATATATATATATAATTGTTTTTTTTTTTTTTTCTCTCTCTCTCTCTCTCTCTCTCTTCTCTCTCTTTCTTTCTTTCCTTCCCCTCCCCTCTCTCTCTATTTTTTTTACATCTCTGTGCAATCGCAATTCCCGACGTTAACTTCTAATTGACAGGGATATTTTGTATTCGAACTGTTATTTGAGCTTGTTTTTGGGGGACCTTGCCGGGGCTTCATCTCCCTGGCTCTGGAAACCGGGAAGGTCTGTATCTTTTTGTGACCTGTCCAATTGGATATCTGTCTGTATACCATTATGTTTGGTCTTTTCGACCTGTATATTGCCATTTCTTTTGTATTTTTTTATTTTTCTCTGGCCATTATGCCTTAACTGTAAAATGCCATAAGTAAAGGAATTACAAATAAAAAACCTTTGTCCTTTTCCTTGTGTTTTTTTTTTTATGTTGTATATTTTTTTGCATTTTTTGCAAACTTTTTATCATGACTTTACTGATCGTAAGTCCCTGCTTTTAAGGGCACTGAACTGGCACTCCATTTCCTGGTTTCAAAACAGGTGCTCCAACTCCGTAACCCACAAAATTGGAACAAGGAAGGCAGGCCAGAGTTAACATGATTGCGTGTGGTCACTGCAAAAGCCATTTGTCAAGACCCCCATTGCAAAGTATTAAGTAGAAGAATGGAAAGACTCCAGACTGTGCATCACACCACTGGGGCAAAATGGCAAGCGTTTTTTTTTTCTTTTAATGTTATATCTTTTGCTAGTCTTTCTAAATAGATAAGAAAAAAGTGAGATACCTGAAAATGTCTGTTTTGAGGTGCCCCATACTTTACAGAGAGCTCTTGCACTTTTTGCACATGGCTAGATTAGATGAAATGGAAAATGGGACTGCATGAATGGCAAATGAGTAATTCCAGTTATAAATAAAATAGCTGTTCTGTTGGCTATTCTTTGTCACTTTGGTAAAGGGTTAAACAGTTTGCCTCCTCTGTTCTCGTGAAACATCTGCAGGAGGCAGACACTGGGAATGTGTTATGGTTGCAGCCAAGGTTGGTGTGAGAAAAGGTCTGATTCCCTTCTACCGGAGCTATATAAAGGATAATGAACATGTGACAGCTATTCACATCCACTGCATCAGTAACATGAGGATTCTTAGCTGTTTATTCATTCCTATCATCCTATTGCTGCTTTCCCATGGAGAGTTTTCTTCAAGCAGTCTACCACCTGCTTCTAGCAAGCATCCCACAGGACAGGTAACTGTGCAATTGTCCATGATTGAGACAGAGAGAAAAATGGTTCAGAAAACAATGTCTATATAGAGATCAGCATTTTGATTTTCATGGCATTTTATATGTAAATGTCCATTCACAAATATTGCATATAATTTTGTCTAGCTACAGACTGCTGATAATTCTGAAGCTATATGAGGTGTTTAATAAGTGAACAGAGAATAGAGCCATTTCAGGTGGAAATGACTAATCATTTATGAGTAAAATACATATTCATGACACAGCATTTCAAAAGGTGCAGAGACCCATAGAAATGTATATAGTGGGCTCCCTTTTTATTTGAATAGGTTAAGCCCATTACTGGCCTTTGCATTGTTATAAAATAAACACCGTTTTATTTCAAGTACCAGCTAGATATATCTATTGGATATATCAATTTCAACAGATGTCTATTGAGATATCTGTAGAAATTTCTTAGAAGTAAGTTATCTATTCCTGTTACAAAACAAGATTTGTTTGCCAAAGTGGCTGAATAGTAGTATTGTGTTTTGTGTATTGGTATTAGATTTTCTTTGGAATTTATTTGTGGTAATTTAATGATAGTATTACCTTTTTGTGAATAGGCTACAATCTGTTGTTGGTGACTTTATTTATTGTATGTTTCATACCTAACTCAATTGCTTTGCCAGTGAATTGGTTAGTTATCGCTTTGAGGATTGCCAATCAAATTATGATCTTTTTCATGTCTGATCTATTTTTTTCTGTGCTTTATTTTGTAGAGCCAGAATAAACCATTGCATGTAGCATGCTAAATAATTTTAGTATGGTTACAATTAAAAGATGGTAGGATCACAAAGGAATTTATGTCCTGCAAGTTCACCAAGTGCCAAAGGAAAATGTAAATTTGAATTATTTAGCTAAAAATTAAATTGCAGCTTTAACATAAAACTAATAACTTTTTCCAGCTCATCCATTTGTCTTTTAATGTGCTGTGATTGGTATTACATAGTTGACGACTTTTTAAGATCATTTTCCACAGTTTGGGGTATCTTATTCTGAGTAATGGTTTATGGACCTTTCTTTGTTTTTGTATGACCAATTCAAAAACTATTTAAATGTAAATACATATACCCAATAATTGTTACCTGAGAAAAGACATATGCTGGTCTTTTTTTTTTTTTTTTTCATTCACTCAGTGGAAAAAGAAAACCGGTTTCTCCATCCACACACCCACTGGAACATTGGGAGAAAACTGGTGCAGTTGTGCATGGTAGCCATTCGGCTTTGGAAGCTGATTGTTAACAAAGCAGAGTTGCACCAGATTTTGCACTGTCCAGTTTTAGTAAATATCTCTCATTGTATTCTCACAGCAGCACTCTCCACCAGCAGAATACACAGATCAGCAGATGCAGCTAGCTGATCGAGGAAAACTTTCAATCAAACCCATTCAACAAAAGTTGATCTAATGATTGCCTTCTGTCAAATAGGTATGGCCACACATGGATTGAAATTTGTCAGCTGAACTTGCCAAGTTTCAATCCATTTATAGTCCGCTTTAGATTATACTCCTGTGTATCATGCAACTGGCCCATTTTAACCATATACAATATTGGAGGGATGTATCTGTAGCATCAGAGATGGGCTGTGAACATTAGGCTCCAAGGTTGTCATTCGCAACCTCTCTTCACTATCTACTGAGTGATTGACTAGCCCAAGTGCATGACCAGTTGGTTCTGAAAAGCCTGAACTATTGTCCTGCTTGCTTGTTGCAGGTTGCTGACACACTAATTAACCAGAATCAAGATAAAAGCCTTAGATCCTGTTCCTCTTGAAGAACAATGGCAGTGCTCAGAATGCTAAACACACAGGTTGATGTTCATAAAGTGAATAGTGCAGTCATGCCATGTAGCAGTCTTAGATTCTTGGGCTTCTTCTGAACAGAAAACCGATTATGTGTTCTAGGAGGACAACTATCACTGTCCTCTGTATAAATTGCACACAGACTGTTTCATGCAGGAGAAAGGGCACGTTTAGTTGCAGTACAGTGCAGCAATATGTATCTCTATTTCCTTCAATGGTACAGAACAGTCCTACTGGTTTACAGGTGCAATAAATTGCATTGAGGTGCAGGTATGTGAACAAGCTCTTGTGGTACTCATAGCCATAAGATGATGCCACCTCATCTGGACAATCATTAGGAGATAATCATGGGAAGTTTTCTATGTCTGCAGGCTTTCATAGCCAACTTTTTTCAGGGATAAGGGGGTTGCTCTGGATTTTTTCTCTTGTTTCTTATTAGATAGACCCCTATCCTGTTCATGTACAGCCACTATTCAGTACCCATGGTTTTTCCCAAATCCTGTCTTTTCAGCAGTAACCTCAACATATATGAATAAAAGATATATGAAAATGTTCAAACTATCCAGGTATCATCAACACCATGACTAGTCTCTTGTAGTTCAATGATACAAGCATTTCTTGCCCAAAATTCATTTAAAAAGTATAACTAAAGGCAAAACCTTTTTTTGGATAGAGTGGAGAGGGATTAGAACCCCTGTAAATTCATATTCTTTTCTGTGTCCCCATTGGAGAGAATCTCCATAGCTATTTGATCTGTTTACCATTATTGTTGAAAGTGAAAGAACATTTCCAATTTTGGGTCTCCTCTAGAAAAGTAGTTGAAACCTTCCAATGGGGACACTGGTTTTGGTGACCTGGGGCTCCAAGAGATTCCCTAATTTGAAGGGATTTCCTCTCGCTTCCTATTTTGGCAATGGGACAGGAATTGAAGATAAATCCCCCCTTCCCTAATGAGACACTGCCAAAAAAACTGACAAGGGTTATAATCTTCCCTTACTCTATCCAAAGTTGCAAAAAAAGGTTTTGCCTATAGTTCTAATTTTATCTTTTTTTTTTTATTTATTTTAGTATATATCCAAATAAAGTGAGAGAATAATGCTCTAAAGTGCTGGGAAATTGCCTCTCAGACAGTTTTTGCTTTAACAGGTGTCCCAGTTGGAAGATTTCCCCTCACTTCTTGTTATGGTGACAACTATAAATATGATTTAACATCACTTCTGTCCCAGTGTCAATGGTCACCAAGACAAATAGAGTGTAAAATTCCCCAGTGGTGACACAGACAGCACTGAAAAACTTGACAGTAGTACAAACTCTTCGCCACTCTATCCAATTGAGGCATCAGCTCATCAATCTGCTGCTTCTCCTTTCAAGGTATAGTGGACAAGATCTGTAAGTGCTTAACTGCAGAAGAAAAATATCAGGTCTCCTCCCTCCCCCTGCTGTGCGGCAAGACCCCTGTATTTCTCAGGACTGCATTGAATTTTTTTTTGGCAGGTAAAACCACTTCTGTATATATACAGTATTTAATCTATACAGTATTTATCTGTTTGGAGTTCAGCTTTCAAGTGGGAGTAAACACCTTTGTTTTGCACTTGTAAGTACAGTAAATATCTCCTAAACATGCACCGTTTAGGAGGTATTTACATGTGAAGCAGCCGGAGGCATGCGCACTGCTCTCTCAATGCGTGTTAAGATTATGAAGTGCACACTAACAATTTACATAAATAACAAGCAATATAATGACTTTAAATAAAGTCCTCAGTCATCTCTGTATCTATAGGCATTGTGAAGAATTTAGCTTTGGAGGTTCATAACACAGGCACTGTATTTTTGTATGTGAGCAGATCTTGGCAACCTGCCAGTCCTGTAATGTAAACAAACAGGTTTTTCTAAGCTGTTAAAACACAACTGCAATCAGACTTTAGAGAGACTTGAATGAGATTCTTGAGGATGAAAAACCTCACATTTAGCTAGAGAGGTAAGGGGGTGGAGGTTGGTTGTTTTCTTTAAGCTGCCATCACGTACCTGCTGTTGCAAAAAGTTCTGTATTGCCACCTAGTATCTCTACATTAGACACATGCACCCCCCCAACCCCAAGGCTATTCCCAAATAATTTGCCCAGTATTTAAAGCCAACAGGCCTGGGTATAATCACATGAGAGGGTGTGGGGAATTCTGCCTATTATGCAAATAGTGACATTGGTAAAGTCAATATCTGCATCTCTTTCTGAACCAGGGAGACATTGATGCATTATACCTACCTGGATGACTATTTTTTCCAGCAGAATGACTGTATCCTAATGTGTTCTATGCAAGAAGGTAAAAAACCTTTTGTGTGTTGCTCCCCCTCACAGCCCCTCCTAATGCTCACCTGAACTCTGTCTCAATACAGCACTGTGCATAGGAGCCTCAGCTCTCCTGGATCTCTCTCTTCTCAGACACAGCAGCAGGAGCCATTGGGAGAAAGCAGAGAGCAAAGCTGAGCCATGCTCTGTGAGTCTCATAGTCCCACAGATCCAGCTTGGGAGTAAGCATGTACCAATGCCCCCATAGCAAGTGGCTTGCTATGGGGGCACTGAGCAGGGGGGAGGGGCCAGGAGTGCCAGTGGGGGACCTGAGAAGAGAAGGATCAGGGATGCCCTGTGCAAAACAATTACACAAAGCAGGTAAGTATAATGTTTGTTATTAAAAAAAAAACACAACCTCTTAGAATCACTTTAAGCAAGAGAACAAAAAGAAGCCGTTCTCCTTATAAAAGCCTTGTGTATAGGTTTATTGAAATACCTGATGCATACACTCTCCCACCCGATGCTGGAGCCTCTAAGGCATTTAACTTTATCTAGAGCTTAAAATGGTTCTAGAGACTGAAGGTTTTTTACCTTTGTGCATTCTATGCATGGAGATAAAAAACCTTCAGTGTGCATCTCACCCTGTAGCCCCCCTAATACTTACCTGGGCCTGGACTCTATCCACCCATGTGCATGAGAGCAGCAGCTCTACCGGGTCCCTTTCTCCTCATTGGCAACAGAAACCATTGGCTCCCACTGCTGTCAATTACAGCCAGTGAGGAGGGAGCAGGAGGGTGGGACTGAGCCATGCTCTGTGTATCCCATACACAGAAGCAGCTAGGGAGTGAGCAAGCACGAGTGCCCCCAGAGCAATCAACTTGCTCTAAGTCACTTGGCAAGGGGGAGGGGTTCAGAAGTGCCGGCAGGGGACCTGAGAAGAGGATTGGGGCTGCATATAGCAGCCAAGTATGATGTGTTTATTATTTTAAAGAAAAAAAATCAAGGCTTTATTAGAAGAGACTCTACTATTAATCTCCGATGGTGTGAAATGCATTACTGGCTACAGGATCAGGTGGAACAGTCTGTGCATCAGATATTTCAATACACCTATATACCAGCTTTTACATGAAATATGGCTCTCTATCTTCTTTTGCTTAATGTGGAATCTATGAAGCAAATAGTGACTGCCACAAGGTATATGTGCCTGCAGCAGGGCAATGTAACTTGTAGTGTGCATTTGATCTAGGTGTCAGGCTGGGTTATTATAGTGTAGATATTTCCCACTGTTCTATTTTGAAATGTTTTAAACCACGGGTGTCAAACTGGCGGCCCTCCAGCTATTGCCAAACTACAAGTTCCATGAGGCATTGCAAGATTGATAGTTACAAGCATGACTCCCAAAGGCAGAGGCATGATGGGACTTGTAGTTTCACAACAGCTGGAGGGCCGCCAGTTTGACAGCCCTGTTTTAAACGATTTTGTAGACAGCCACTAATATTTTCTAGGGTATATCTGTTTTAGTATTTTTTAATTGTTTATACTTTTAAGTGACAAATTAAAAAAGATGTGGTCCCAGATCTCAGTCCTTTTTAGAAGTGTTATACATTTGCATATCTAGGTTTAGAGGCTGTAAGCATGTCTGAGATGAGCTATTTTACAGCAGGTATACTGTGCTGTTGCTGCTCTTAGTGGTTTGCCTGTGTTTGTAAAGTCCCCTTTAAATCCTTTTTGAATCTACCTTTAGAGAAAAGGGCCTATCCATAAAGCAATGGTAAGGCCTTACTGTGGCCATGCTTTGGGTTTATAAAAAAAATACAACACCCACAACAATAAAGTATAGATATGTGCTTTACAAAAGTGCCTTCTACTATGCTTGATTAAGAAGTCCAAGGCAAGCAAACCCTCATAAATTTAATGTAATAGGGGACAAAAATTGCAAGGAGGCAATGAGCATGGTCAAATGACCTGACAAAATCACATGACCGATCACTTCTCCTATCAATGAGTGTTTTGTGCAGTGTTATGCAGAGAACACTCCATAACACACCACGGGGTCCTTCCCACTGCTGGCAGTTTAGAAATGGCTCTTCAAATAAAGGGGCAGTGTGGAGGAAACACTGCGGAGTCATGAAGATTCTCCGTTATAAAGATTCCCTTTAGTGTTTATCTTGCCAATGTTTTAGAAGAAAATTTAGACTTGTGTATACATCTTCTTCATGTAAACCATCAGTGAATGCAGAAAGTGTTGATGTAAAGTGGAACAAGTTACTGTATTGTCATATTCAGTAGGTTGTAAATGCAAGCTTTTCAACCATATATTAAGTGTCTGACAGTAATAGCACATTTCAGTAGTCTTCTTTGAGTGTTTTGCATTAGACTTCAAATTCTACCTTACCTTCATGCTTTCTGCTGTCTTGCATATAGATTGTGATAGTTAAAGTTTTTAAAGTGGTTGTAAAGGCTCAAGGTTTTTTACCTTCATGCATTCTATGCATGAAGGTAAAAAACCTTCTGTGGGCAGCAGTGCCCCCCAATACTCACCTAATCCAGCAATGTGCATTGGAGTCTCGACTATCCCAGGACTCCCACTTCTCATTGGCTGAGACAGAATCGGGAGCCATTGGCTCCCACTGCTGTCAATCACAGCCAGTGAGCCAATGAGAAGTGAGAGACGGGGCCGAGTTGCGGCTCCGTGTATGAATTGACACACGGAGCAGCGGGTGCCCCCATTGCAAGCTGCTTGCTGTGGGGGCACCTGACAGGACGGAGTGGACAGGAGAGCCTGCAGGGGACCCGAGAAGAGAAGGTTCTGAGCTGCTCTGTGCAAAACCACTGCACACAGCAGGTAAGTATAACATGTTTGTTATTTTTTCTTTAAAAAAAAATAAACCTTTAGAATTACTTTAATTCTATTGTATCCAGAGCGAAAAGTGATTTGTGCACCAGGATCATGCTGCGATGTTTGAAATTTAAAGTGACCCTGTTGCCAGACCATTAACCCCTTCATGACTAAGGTCAAAATGAACCTTAACGCCTAAACCCAATTTTGTTTGTTGACATGTATTAGTAAAACTATATACAGTATATCACAACTACTTGTATCCAGGTGGAGTATACCTTGTTCTTTTCCAGGACAGAATGCACTTTTCATTTGGTGCTTAATGTTAGCGGACACCTCATGATTTTATTTTATTATAAAAAGAAAATTGGCCCCAAATAATAAAGTACTTTTTTTTTAATTTAGCTGTAAGTTTGGATGCCATTACCATAACCCACTACCATAAAAACCTTCAAAATAAATTCCACTATTCCTGATGATCACAGTGATACCGCACATGTGTATGTTATTTGTTCTTTCTACCCATAGTAGGGCCAAGCAACAACTGTACGCATTTTTTTTTTTTGTCCTACCTAAACACGTTAACACTTGCACTGACACTAAATATAATACCTTTTTTTTCCAAATGTTGGCTGGTTCAGCAAGAAACGGATTACTTTCAGTACATGTGTACCACTGTCTGCTCAACAGAAGTTGTCCTAACGACTGCCTTTTGTCAAACGGTCTTGCTGGAAAACCAGCATTTAAACTGCACTTGTAGCCAATGGCTACAAGTGCAGATCAGTGTATTTTGGCGGGGTGGGAGAGCCCCCCCAGAATACAATAACACAGTGGGAGAAATCCCCACATTACACATCATTGTGTTCATTCTAGGATCTGTCAGTTTTCTACAGTTTGGAAACTGAATGTGCATACCCTGCCTAATACTGCCACTAGCTGACACTCACTAAACTAGATCAAGTCCTGATCTAGATAAACTTTATTTTTTTTCAGATATTTTTTTTTTTTTGTTAGGCCCCTTTCATGAGGAAGTTCTGATTGGGTCTGCCTGCCCACTTTTCAGGCAGACCCAATTGGAATCTCTATTTTCCTCTATGAAGAAGCGGGTGTAAATGGACGTGGCGCACACACCTAGTGCATTATCCAAGGTTTATTGAAAGGTATGAAAGGTAAAAACATACTGACAGACGAAGCATGTATCTAAAAAGCATTTGCATAATGACGATGGCCACAACGGCAAGCAAGGTGTTCCAACTGTCAGTGCAGTCAAATGGCTGACGCGTTTCGGGGACGAGTCCCTTTCCTCAGAGCTACTGACCAGCCTCTGGTGCTGATGTGTAGTGGATGGATGATGGGAGCCTTGCTCTACCTAGTGGCTGATCTCCCCGTCTGAGGAGGGCTGCACCCCTGAAGCATCCTTTGGTTGTTGCTGTCCTGGTTCGCTTGGCTTCCCTTTTAGCTGTGCATTTCCTGAGGTGCTGGAGAGTACATACGATATCCGGTTCGATTGTAAATGGACATGTGTCCGTTTACACCCACCGACATCCAATCTGATCCACCAAAAAGAGACGGATGGGAATCTGTTCCTTATCTGTCCATCAGATGGAAACGGACTGGCGGTCCGTTTCCATCCGACCACCCGTAGAGGACTGCGGGCTGTGTCTGTATCCGCTCTGCATAAACGAAGTGGACACGGACCTGTCATCCGCTTGCTCAGCAGGGATCAGCAGACAGATCCCCCGCTGACGGGTTTGCTCCATGTGAAAAGAGCCTTACAGTCTTCTCCTGTAGGAGGAAAAGACACAAAAGGGAAGATTTACTAAAATTGGAGCACTCAGAATTTGATGCAGCTGTGCATGGCAGTCAATCAGCTTCTAAATTCAGCTTGTTCAATTAAGCATTGACAATAAAACTTGGAAGCTGATTGGTTTCTAGATTACATGTGCATTTTATGCATGTTATTTACCCATAAAGGCCTTCCTTGTGTAGACATCTAAAAGCCCTGAGTCTGTTGCTAGGTGCCATCTTGAATGTGATTGGCAGCGGCCTCAACAGACTTGGAGCTATCAGTGACACTATATTGCATTCCCCTTTGCTCTTTCCTGCTACATGAAAGGTTATGTAAGGAGGAGAGAAGGTTTTCAACTCTGTCAGGGTTTTACTGTTGTCAGTGTCCTCACTAGGGAGTTTCAACCCTCTGTTATTCCTAGAAACCATTGTCACAGGGATCGATAGAAGAAGAGAAAGAAAATACATTTTGTTTTGTCACCAGAACACAAACAGAAAAGTATTTTAAGGGTGACAACTGTTTAAAGGAGGATTTCCCTAATTTTAGATATATTTACTCTCTTTTTCTGTTGTGTTTCCAAGTCAGGAGATATTGGGGTTTTCCCAAATAGGGCAAAGGCAGCCAAAATAAGAGAGTAGTCCTTTATTTGCTTACAGGACCTCAAAGTCTAAAAGTGGGTAGCAATGGATCAATGGGAACTGCATCCATTTAAAGGGGACCATTCTATCATTAATCAAAGCAATCATTTCATCATTGAGTATCACCAGAGAAGACCCTGGATTTGACCTCAAGAACAGAGGTCATCAAATTTCCAAGTCTTTGCTTGAAAGGTTGGTAATGAACTCAATTTTCATAGCACAGTGTTTATTAAAACTGACCATGACTGTGCAGAGAAACAGACATATGTCTTAAGGAGAAGTTACTAGGATTGGTCTTTTTCAGGACTCTTGTTTCAGCTGGAAGTCCAATGAGATCCACACACAGCCTGTATCTGGGAAATGGAGACCCAAAGAATACCCTGCTTCTGGAATTCCCTCTGTCATCCTTAACCAGGTAAAAATATATTTCCTATTAAATAATAATAGTAATTGACTACCCTAAACACAGAGGGTATGTTCTGTAAAACTGAAGCAAAGGCAGCCAGGTTTACCACTCCATTCTCTCACCCAACCTGGGTGAAATGAAAGGAGGAATCTGAAGATTGGCTACTGTATGTATAGACAACACTCTACATTTTTACTACACTTCACAAATCATCCCCAAAATGGTCAATGAAGATTATCAGATATGTGTTGGTAGATCTACCACAGGTGTACGGTAGGACAAGTATGTGAAGCAGGCCTGGATATTATGATTATGCCTCACTGTGTCAATGATTTGAATTAGGAGACCCAGTATATGTTTTCTGTTCTTCACCAAGTCATATCGGAACTGATGATTATTAGTCTATTAATTCACCTTATTTGCAAACCTGACTATTCTACATTATTATGAAGTGTTAATGACATGTAACTACACCTAAAAAGTACATCTCAAAAGGCCATGTACTGCTCTAAGTTTAGTTCTTAGTTCAGTGTCCTATCTGTTCTGTCAGCAAACCCAATAGTGCTTATTTAGTACAACCTTAAAACATATTTAAGTGTTTGTAGGTCTGACATTGTTTGTTGCACAAATGCTTGAAAAAGAGATTTCAGTGACACAAGATGTCTGGGACACAATGGGGTAGATTTACTAAATTTGGAGACTGCAAAGTCTGGTGCAGCTCTGCATAGAAACCAATCGCCTTCCAGGTTTTATTGTCAAAGCTTAATTGAACAAGCTGAAGTTAGAAGCTGAATGGCTACCATGCACAACTGCACCAAATTTTGCACACTCCAGGTTAAGTAAATCAACCCAAATATTTAGATTATACTGTAGAATATAGTGTACTATATACAATATCTCACAGAAGTGAGTCCACCGCTCACATTTTTTGTAAATATTTTATTATATCTTTTCATGTGACAACACTGAAGAAATGACACTTTGCTACAATGTAAAGTAGTGAGTGTACAGCTTGTATAACAGTGTAAATTTGCTGTCCCCTCAAAATAACTCAACACACAGACATTAATGTCTAAACTGCTGGCAACAAAAGTGAGCACACCCCTAAGTGAAAATGTCCAAATTGGGCCCAAAGTGTCAATATTTTGTGTGGCCACCATTATTTTCAGCACTGCCTTAACCCTCTTGGGCATGGAGTTCACCAGAGCTTCCCAGGTTGTCACTGGAGTCCTCTTCCACTCCATGACGACATCACGGAGCTGGTGGATCTTAGAGACCTTGCGCTCCTCCACCTTCCGTTTGAAAATACAACTGCGCTCTGATAGTGCATTGTGATTGGCCAAAGCAATGCTTTGGCTAATCACAGCACAATTGGGCAGAGCTAGCAGTGCTGTCCTCACTAGCTCCACCCAATTGTTTATATCTGTCAGATAGCGGCGAGTGCTAGCCAAGTGCAGATGGGTTGGTGGGTATCGAGTTTTTTTTTTGGCACGTCGGTGTCGTCGTGACAATGCTGGACACCGAAAATGACCATGGATTACAACGATGGAACATTTTTTTTGGCTTTTTTGTTTTAATAAGGACTTGTCAAAAACTGTTGTGATTTTATTCACCCCCTGCAGACCCCCACAACCGCAGCCCCCCCTACCCCCAAAGATCTCTCCACCATTTCGAGGGCATGTGGCCCGGTACAGTTCGGGGGGGACACGCTCATTTGTCACCCACCCCCCCGCCGCCTGCCAGTCCTGTGCTCAGATCAAGGATCTAGTAGGACTTTATGGGGTACCCCACACACTTTTTTATTAAACATATTTTACTGTGGGGGGGGGCCTCACGCTGTCTTTTTTTTTTTATCAAAAAATGTAAGTCTTGTTGCAGGGACTTTACATTGTACAGATGTACAACTTTGCAAGTAGTTTAAGGGGACCCCCAAGGCATGATATTTAAAGGAATTTTTCATTTTTTTAAAAATTGCTTTAAGCAATGAAAAATTACTTTAAGCAATGAAAAAAAACTGTACTTTTTGGGAAAAATGTTTTCACTGATTCATGTCCCTCAGAGCAGTACCCGAGTCCCCATATCCCTTTTATGGCCAATAACTTGCATATAAGCCTTCAAAATGGACACTTTTGAAGTTCGAGTCCCATAGACTTGCATTATGTTTGAAGTTGAAGTTTGCGGTCGAACTTTCATTAGGTTCGAATGTTCAACCGCGAACCGAATAGGGGGGTGTTCGGCCCATCACTAGTGATAGGCAGGTGCACAGCTTTGACTGTGCTTTCTTCCTGGCTTATTGCAGCAGAGTAAAGATATTAGGTGGCCCCCTCTGGACATCCACTGGGTCTAGGCTTGCCTTGTGGATGATCCAGCTCTGCATCAGAGCTGTGGATCTAAACCCCCTGTAGACTCTGTGTTAAGCAGTTTCAAAGCTTGCACAAAGCTACTCACTTGGTCCTCTTCTTCACAAGAAATTGGGCCAAGTTACAGTCTGCTGATGCCTGGGCACTGCACCTTGGGAGAAATGGGGAGAAGATTGTAGGCTAACCCATGCCCAGAAGCACAAGGTATTCCCTATAGCTCAGGCAGACAAATGGAGTGGTGGGAGAGCCCGGCAAAAGTGAGTATAACTGTGTATATTTGTACAATGGGGGGAGCTGTTAAGATTTAAAGAACACCTACTATTGTGCACTGAATAGGTATTAGCAGGATAGGCAAAGAGACGCATTCCCTTGAAATCTCACTCCATACCAACTGATGTTTTCCCTCACCATTCCATTGCACTATCAGAGCAGAGATGAAGATAAATTATGACATTCACTGTGGGATTCATCTCACAATGCCGTGTTAAGAGCCTAAATGAGCAATACATATACCTTTCAAAGAAATTTGGTATCAAGAGTCTCGGGGTTGGTACTCTGGGTGGAACAGTGATGGAAATCTGCTTGTTATTTTGAAATCACCCAGCGGCACCTGTTGTATGGCAGAAGCTTTAGTTCAGATGTTTTATTCTGGCTATAGATTTACTATAATAAAATACATGTTTTTTCTGGTGATTATACACTGTTGTTGGCTATCCTATATGATTACAGCAATCTCTCATCATTTGAAATCCGGACATATGACTGTCAAGGCATCATATTCTTTGGAAATATTGGCCTGGATAACTGGTTTGTACTTGGGATTCGTGATTGTCGGTTGGAAATACAGATGAGTAATGGCAATGGTCAAATGGTTCTCTCTAAGTGGGGACCAGAAGTCAGCAATGGCAAATGGCAAAAGGTGAGCGCTGGATTTTAGTATAGCTTCAGAATTTGACTTCAGATGTACAATAAATATAGACAACAAACACTTCTTATGCTCACGTATGCTAATTATGCCCAGTTATGGTAAGATTAAAGTAACAGTGGACAGCAGAGCAAGATTTATGACACACCCCCACACAATGACCATCATAAAGGCATACATGAAAATTATTCAGTTAAAAATTTTTAAAATGAGATCCCTGTTAATACTAATACTCCTGCTGCTTCTAAAAGCCTTAGTCTAACATCCTCATTTGACCTGAAGCAATGGATACAGGTTTCTACTCACTTCACTGGCAACACCCTTGACCTTGTCTTCTCCTATCTATGCTCTCCGTGCAACATCTTCAACAATCCTTTTCCTCTCTCTGATCGCCACCTTATTAGTTTTCACTCTCTCCCTCTCTTCCACCTCCTCTCATTCCAACCGCCTAACAATTACCTGTAGAAACCTTCACCACTTCCACTCTTCTCCTCTTTATTCTGCTACTGACCACCTCTGTGACAAAATCTCACCCTGTCCTGCCAGAATCTAGCCACTTCTGTCTACAATAGATCCCTGTCCTCCACTCTGAATGAGCTTGCCCCCTCACTACACACAGAATCTGGCCCGGCCCTACAATCCTGGCAAACAGATGGAACCAGAAGTCTCACAAAATATAGCCGAGCTCTTGAGCATCTGTGGTGTAAGACTAAGTCTCACAATGACTTCACCCAATATAAATCTGCCCTCCAAAAATAAAATTCTTGCCTTCACACTGCCAACCAGACCTATTTTATCACTGTCGTTAGCACCGTCTCATCTAGTCCCTGTCAACTCTTCTCTACCTTTATCGCTCTATTTCATCCTCCACTGCTTCCATCCACTAACTCACTCACTACCCAGGTGATCACCAGTCACTTAAAAAATAAGATAGATACAATTCGTGATGAAATCAACTCTCTACAGATATTTCCCCTCACTTAACACCCCATGTCCACAGGTACACTCAACACTTCCCTTATTCAACCCTACTATTATAGACAAGGTTGCTACACTTTTTTCTAATATCCACCTAACCACATGCCCCCTGGACCCTATTCTCTCTAAAATACTGCAGTCACCTACTGGCACTATCCTACACTCTCTAACTCACATCTTCAATCTTTCCCTCTCTTCTGGCATCTTTCCCAACTCTCTAAAACATGCATTAGTCATCCCCGTACTTAAAAAGCCTTCCTTGGACCCCACCAATCTTAAAAACCTACGCCCCATCTCCTTGCTCCCTTTTACCTCCAAACTCCTTGAACACCTGGTCTACATCCGACTGAGCAACCACCTCATTAAGAATAACCTTCCTGATCCCCTTCATTCTGAATTTTGCCCTCAGCACCACACAGAAGCTGCTCTCCTAAAACTCACAAATGATTTACCAACAGCTGAAATCAATGGATACTATTCTGTATTCCTATGTCTGGACCTTTCGGCTGCCTTTATATGGTTGACCACCCCCTCCTCAAAAAAAAAAAAACTTTACTCCTTTGGTTTCTGTGACTGTGCTTTTCATTGGTTCTCATCCTACCTATACCACCGCACCTTCAGCGTTACTTACAATTTTACTTCCTCTTCTCCTCTTCCTTTCGCTGTCGGGGTTCCCCAAGGTTCTGTTCTTGGACCTCTCCTATTCTTGATCTACACTTCCTTCCTGAGTCAGCTGATAGCTTTCCATGTCTTTCAATATCATTTCTACGCTGACAATACCTAAATCTATCTCTCTGCACCTCAGCTCACAACATCTGTCTCCTCACACATCACTAATTTACTGACCGACATATCAGTCTAGGTGTCACACCTCTTCCTCAAACTCAATCTATCCAAAGCCGACCTCCTAATATTTCCTCCCCCACATGCCCCTTCCCTTGACTTCTCTGTCAAGATCAACAACTCAACTATTAACCTGTCCCTGCATGCCAGGATGCTAGGTGTAATCCTGGACTCTGAACTCTCCTTTCTGCCCTAAATCCAATCACTTTCCAAAGCTTGTTGCCTCAACCTCCGCAACATCTCCACAATACACTCCTTCCTAACCAATGACACCAAAAAGCTCCTAATCCACTCCCTGTTATCTCTCATCTTAACTCCTGCAACTCCTCATTGGCTTACTTTACATAGGCTATCCCCCCTTCAGTCCATCATAAATATGCTGCCAGACTCATCCACCCTACTAGCCGCTCAGTGTCTGCTATCCCTCCCTGCCATTCCCTCCATTAGCTGCCATTCACCCTACTAATTAAATTCAAAATACTAACAACTTACAAAGCCATCCACAAATCAGCCCCCAGCTACATCACTAACCTGTCTCAAAATAAAAACTAAGTCCTTCTCTTTGTTCTCCCCCAAGACCCCCGCTCTCTAGTTCCAGTGTCACCTCCTCCCATGCTCACCTCCAGGACTTCTCTCAAGCCTCTCCAATCCTATGAATCCCTATCCCAATCTGTCCAGCTATCCTACTCTGTCCACTTTTAGGTGATCGCTGAAAATTTTTCTCTTCAGAGAAGCCTATCCTGCCTCCACCTAACAACTGTACTCTTATTTTCTCCATCAGCTCATCCTCCACAATTATCTTTTGTATCACTTGACCCTTCCTTTTAGATTGTAAGCTTTAACAAACAGGGCTCTCTGTTTCCTACTGTTTGACATTGTATTGTAACTGTACTGTCTGCCCTCATGTTGTAAAGTATTGCACAAACTGTTGGCGCTCTATAAATCCTGTATTATAATAATTCACAGTGTTTGTACATGTTGTACATTCACATCAGTTCCTGCCCTCGAGAAGCTTACAATCTAATGTCCATACCTGCATGCATACGCATATTTGGGCCAAGTAGAAAGGAGTAATTTACCCACTGGCACATTTTTGGAATGTGGAAGGAAACCCACGCAGGAAGAGGGGGAACATCCAAACAGAAAGTGTCCTGGCTGGTATGCAAACCAAGGACCCCAGTTCTGGAAGTATTTTTTATAGTATTATTTTTTTTTTTTTAATGAAATTAAGCAAGGCAAGGGGTTACATAAGAAAATAATAAACATGTCACCTGTTCAAGCAAATAACAAAAGACTGAGTGCAGATCACAAGCATGTCTTTGCTTTTCAGTCAGGGACTATAGTAATACAAGACATATTGAAAAGCATTATCCAATAACATGAGTATTTATCATGCGTACTCTGATGTGATATTGTTTTTTAATTATACATACATCATCTTTGTTATACAAAAATGTAATAAATGACAAATAATTCCAAGAATACTATGTGTTAGCTAAGGAGACCATACAGCAGATGCTTGCTTTGCAATCCCTTTTTTCTGAATAAAACTTTCTTCTGAGCCTCTGGGTGAGGATAAAGGAGCACATGGTAACACAAGACTCACTTGATGGCTTATTTCAGCAATTTATTGAAGATAAAAAGTAACAAGTGGAGCCAACGCATTTTGAGAGAATTGCCTCCCCCCCCTTCCTCAGGGCTAGTATACAAGGGAACAGATATACAAGAAATATCTAATAAAACTGGAGAGAACCATCTGTAACATCTAACATAGCTGTATGGATTCAAGTTCAAAATGTTTTTGATAAATAATACATAAATGATCTCTCAAACATACTATAAACATAAGCAGGGATATACAGTACATGCATAGTTATAGTATATGTCAACCAGGAAAAGTCATCTGTCAATCTTCAGCCAAATGCTGTAGACTATAGCTATACTTAAAATATACATATATGGAAAACATATAAATAACATACAGTAATATGTAAAATATATATATATATATATATATATATATATATATATATATATATATATATATATAGCAATCATAACGTATTCACACCTCAGTCACTTATAAATTTTGTTATGTTGCAGCCTGATACTACAGCTGTTTAAATTCATTTTTTTTTTTCAATAATCTACACTCAGTACCCCAATAGTATCAAAGTAAAAAGAGAATTTTGGAAATGTCTGTGAATTTATTTAAAAGAAAAAACTAAAATATCACATGTAGGGTTTAAGTATTCAAACCCTTTACTTGTTGAAGCACCTTTGGCAGCAATTACAGCCTTAAGTCTTTTTGGGACGCAACAAGCTTTGCACACTCAGATTAGGGGATTTTCTGCGATTCTTCTTTGCAAATCCTCTCAAGCTCAGTCAGGTTGAATGAGGACCATCCATGGACAGCTATTTTAAGGTCTCTCCAGAGATGTTCAATAAGGTTCAAGTCAGGGCCCTGGCTGGGTCATTCTAGGACATTCACAGAGTTGTCCCTAAGCCACTCCTGTATTGTCTTGGTTGTGTGCTTAGGATTGTAGTCATGTTGAAAGATGACCCTTCGGCCTAGTAGCCCAAGACCTTTAACCAGGTCAGCTGCCACTGCCCTCCATTGGATAAAAAGCCCCTACTACCACTGCCTCCATTGGGTTAAAACCCCACAAATATTTTGACCAATAACCAAACTTTGGGTACCCCAGTCCAACACTGTCATCCACATACACCAGATTTTGAGCCTCTGATAGGGGTTCACTGGTATAATGAAGAATTTTGTAAACAAAAGCATTCATTTACTGCTGTATCATTAAAAAGGAACTTTACTCTCTCCATCAACATTGACTATTTTAACCCTTATGCTGCTAACATTAGTAAATAGATAGGGAAGTATATTATATTTACTTGTTTTAAACATTTGTTTTCAATTACAATTACTTCCTGGTTTCCATGCCTAGGCAAAATATGTCATACCAGTCTTCTAGAGGGATGGAGGGGTTTTCTGAGCGAAGAACACCCTCTTGCCAGAGTTAAGGGCAGATGGATTCTAGGAAGTAAATGCTACATGAATCATCTGCCCTTATCAAGATGGCCACGGCCAAAGATGCTACGGGTGTTTTTCAAAGGGAGTTCCCAACAGAATAAAAAATGGAGATAAGGAAGGATGGATGGATGAGTTTGCTTTGAATATTAAAAACTAATTAAATAGTATTTTTGGTTTGTGATGCTCAGATGCAGTGTAGCTTCACTTTAACCACTTTCGCTCTGCCCCATAGCAGCAATACTGCTACAAGGCGGCAGCTGTGCGCAAAATCACATATACACACACACACACATATATATATATATATATATATATATATATATATATATATATATATATATACACAGTTGCAAGAAAAAGTATGTGAACCCCTTGGGATTACGTGGCGTTTTGCATGAATTGGGCATAAAATGTGCTCTGAACGTCATCCAAGTCACAACAATAAAAGAACACAGTCTGATAAACATAATACTACACAAACATTAGATGTTGCCATGGTTTAATTGCACATAACATGTAAACATTCACAGTGCAGGGAGGAAAAAGTATGTGAGGCCCTAGCTTAATGACTTCTCCCAGAGCTAATTGGAGCCAGGAGTGAGCCAACCTTGACTCCAATCAGTGTGATGATATTGGATGTGTTGCTGACAGCTGTCCTGCCCTTAAAAAACACACACCTGTTTTGGGTTTACTGGTTTCAAGAAGCACTGTCTGATGTGAACCATGCCTCGCAGAAAAGAGCTCTCAGAAGACCTACAATCAAGAATTGTTGACTTGCATGAAGCTGGAAAGAGTTACAAAAGTATCTTCAAAAGCCTTGATGTTCATGTGTCCACGGTAAGACAGACTGTCTACAAATGGAGAAAGTTTAGCACTGTTGCTACTCTCCCTAGCCGTGGTCGTCCTGTAAAAATGACTGCAAGAGCACAGCGCAGAATGCTGCATGAGGTAAAGAAGAATCCCAGAGTGTCAGCTAAAGACCTACAGAAATCTCTGGCACATGCTAACATTTTTGTTGACACATCTACAATAAGGAGAACATTAAACAAGAATGGAGTACATGGGAGGACACCACGGAGGAAGCCATTGCTGTCCAAAAAGAATATTGCAGCACGTTTGAAGTTTGCAAAAGAGCACCTGGATGTTCCACAGCACTACTGGCAAAATATACTGTGGACAGATGAAACCAAGATTGAGTTGTTTGGGAAGAACACACAACACTATGTGTGGAGAAAAAAAGGCACAGCACACCAACATCAAAACCTCATCCCCACTGTAAACATGGCGGAGGGAGCATCATGGTTTGGGGCTGCTTTGCTGCCTCAGATCCTGGACGGATTGTTGTCATTGATGGGAAAATGAATTCCAGAGTTTATCAAGACATTTTGCAGGAAAGCGTACGACCATCTGTCCGCCAACTGAAGCTCCGCAGAGGATGGGTGATGCAACAGGACAATGACCCAAAGCATACAAGTAATTCAACAAAACAATGGCTGCAACAGCACAGAATACGCCTTCTGGAGTGGCCCAGTCAGAGTTCTGACCTCAACCCGATTGAAATGCTGTGGCATGACCTTAAGAGAGCGATTCACACCAGACATCCCAAGAATATTGCTACACTGAAACAGTTTTGTGAAGAGGAGTGGTCCAAAATCACTCCAGATCATTGTGCAGGTCTGATCTGCAACTACAGGAAATGTTTGGTTGAGGTTATTGCTGCCAAAGGAGGGTCAACCAGTTATTAAGTCCAAAGGTTCACATACTTTTTCCTCCCTGCATTGTGAATGTTTACATGTTATGTGCAATTAAACCATGGCAACATCTAATGTTTGTGTAGTATTATGTTCAGCAGACTGTGTTCTTCTATTGTTGTGATTTAGATGACATTCAGAGCACATTTTATGCCCAATTCATGCAAAACTCCACGTAATCCCAAGGGGTTCACATACTTTTTCTTGCAACTGTACATATATACACGTGATTTTGCATTTCCGGGTAGGGGCGCACGACCTACCTGTGCCACCATTTGCGGCCGTGGCTGTCAATCACTGGGTCCTAGCTAGTGATTACTCGCTGGCACCCGGTGATTGCCAAGGATCTCTGTCGGGGGGGGGGGGGTGGAGAACTGTTAGTAGATTAAACAGTTCTCCCTGTCAGGTCATGCACACTGCTTTGCATGGCTGTGCACAGCCATGCAAAGCAGTGTGCTTACAGTGAAGCACACAGACACAGTCCCATTGTAAAACACACCCAGCACACAGTTAACCTGTCAGGAATGGACTAGCCAGCAATGGTGGGACTCACCTGCCTTTTGATCTGCAGTACCAGGGCTGGCCAGCGGGTGCTCCCAGCAATCAGAGACTCAACTTTGCAGCCAGCTAACACCTGGAACTGATTATGCTGGGGTATTTAAGGGATGGCCAGACTTGCAGACTCGGCCTTGGTGTTGTGTTTCTCTTGGGCCCTGTATCCTGTTCCTGTCTGATTCTCTGCTGACCCTGCTCTGATCCCTGGCTTGTCTGACCATCCCTCTGCCTGACCCTCTGTACTACGCTGCTTGCTACCTGTTCTGATCCCTGGCTTGTGACCCTGTCCATCCCTCTGCCTGACCCTCTGTACTACGCTGCTTGCTACCTGTTCTGATCCCTGGCTTGTGACCCTGACCATCCCTCTGCCTGACCCGCTGTACTACGCTGCTTGCTACCTGCTGAACCTGGCCTGTGACCCCGACCATTCTCCGCTTGCTCCCCCTGTACCTACCTGCCCAGTTGATATTGACCCGGCCTGCCTGACGACGCTTGCTTGTATGTACTGTTATCTGTGGGTGGTTGGTTTGGTTTGTTTGCACTGTATTATGTTTAGTATTGCACTGCGTTTATGTTTGTATTGTTAGTGTTAATAAATTATATTGTTTATCACATATCTGAAGTCTGCGTTTCCCTGCGTCAGTCACACACCTCTGGTCACACCTGGGAGCCCTGACATAACCCTTTGTTTGCTCCACATCTTAACCCCTTCCTGCCGAGTACCATTAGTACAGTGTCAGTGCTTTTTATTAGCACTGATCACTGTATTGGTGTCATTGGGGATGTCAGTGACACCAAGTCAGTTTCCCCCAGTGTCAGAATGCCGCCGCAATCCTGCTATAAGTCGCTGATCGCCACCATAACTAGTAAAAATTAAGAAAAAAAAAGCCCAGTATATATACCAACATTTGTAAACACTATAGCTTTCACGTAAACCAATTAATTTACATGTATTGGGATTTTTTTTTTTTAGCAAAGACATGTAGCAGAATACATTTTGGCCTAAATTTATGATGAAATTTTGATTTTATAAATTTTTTTACTGGACATATTTAATAGCTAAAAGCCAAAAATACTGTTTTCTTCTCAAAATTGTCAGTCTTTTTTTGTTTATAGCGCAAAAAATAAAAAATGCACAGGCAATCAAATACCCCCAAAAGAAAGCTCTATTTGTGGGAAAAATGGACATAAATTTAATTTGGGTGCAGCGTTGCATGATCGTGCAATTGTCAGTCAAAGTAACGCAGCGCCGTAACGCAAAAAAATGGCCTGGTCAGAAAGGGGACAAAAATCCTCAGGAGGCTAAGTGGTTAAAGACACAATACTAAATGTGAAAAAAACTAAAAGACTAAAGCGCCACCTGCTGCCTCTGAAGGTGAATGAAAATAATAATATGCAGTATTTCATATTTACCTGACTAGAAATAAATGATAAAATATATTTTAAAAAAATATACATTTGTAACGAAATTATGTAGAAGATGAAATAATTATATCAAAGGCCAGGAGCGGAGGACAAAAACTGATCAAATACCATGGGAGAGATCTGTTTAACTGTGGTGTGATAGATCGATAAACAAAAATGTAATGAAAAACAGCAACATTATTCTGCTGCAGTTCTTTACATTTGTAGGTTTGCAAGAAGCAGATCAATCTGATTTAAAGCTTGTGGAAAATGTCTGTCTCAATGCAGATATGTGAATGATCATGCTTGATGCTCATCAGTGTGTTCTGGATGATCGTACACAGGACACTGGTTAGATACTGGTGAGTTAGAAAGTGTGGATCTTGGCCCTAAAAAATATATAAATAAAAAATGAGGTAAGATCAACAGAGGCACGGGTGATGGATAGAGTGTATTGGGTTTTTTTGGGGGGTTTTGTTACTGCGGTTTGATGTATGCTGTAATTAACTAACTTATAAAGAAACTATTCTAAGTAGTTCCGTCCATCAAGGACACCTCTGCTGACCTCGCCTCCATGTTTTGGCGTCCAAAAATTCTCACTTCAGTGTAGGAAACCATTCTGCGTTTCCTTTAAATGGTCAGGTCATGGACATATACACTGATCAGCCATAACTCTATGACTGAAAAAAACGGCCATTGCAGTTTGTTGTGTATGAGGCTGTGTAACTGCAGACTGGTCACAGTGTCCATACTGACCCATGTCCACAGCCAAAAGTGCCCACATTGGGCATGTGAGCATCAGAACTGGACCACAGAGCAATGGAAAAAGGTGGCCTTGTCTGATGAATCATATTTTATTTTACATCATGTGGATGGACATGTGCAAGTGTGTTGCTTACCTGGGGAAGAGATGGCACCAGGATGCAGTATGGGAAGAAGGCAAGCTGGCAGATGCAGTGTGATGCTTTGTGCAACGTTCTGCTGGAAAACCTTGGGTCCTCCCTTTCATGTGGATGTTACTTGATACATACCACATACCTAAACATTGATACTGACCTAATACACCCCATCATGGAAATGGTATTCCCTGGTGGCAGCGGCCTCTTTCAGCAGGATAATGTGCCCTGCCACACTGCCAAAATAGTTCGGGAATGGCTTGAGGAACACAAACTCTTAAGGGAAAATGTCTTTGGCCTCACATTCTCCAGATCTCAATCCAATTGAGCATCTGTGGGATCTGCTGCTGAAAAAAAGTCCGACTTTTAGAGTCTCCCACCTTGCAGCTTACAGGAATTTAAAGGATCTACTACTGACGTCTTGGTGCCAGATACCACAGCATACCTTCAGAAGTCTAGTGGATTCCATGTCTCAATGGGCTAGGGCTGTTTTGGCAGCAAAATGGCCAAAGGGTGACCTACTCAATATTAGGTGGGTGGTCATAAAGCTATTTCTGATTGGTGTATATTTGACAGGTTCATCCTACATTAAACCTAGGGGCAAAATAAAGGCTGCTGTTGATAATCCTCCTCTAGGCAATTTTAGAAAACAGTTCTAGGCAGCAAACTAATAACTGGCTGCTGTGAATTACTGTACTTCTTAATTTTGTACTGCTTTAAATAAACAAACTGTTTTTTCTTGCACCATGATTGCTGCAAAATCAGGTCATTTATCTAATGTTATTGCAATAACACCATGTGGTGTGTGTGGGTAGCATTATGTTATACTGTGAGTACAGAGATTTCCTACACTGAATATAATGCCATAACATGCAAACTGCTGTATTTTCTAAGATTTGGCAGAAAATGTCTTTGTCTTTTGTTTATTGACTCACATGAAACTATTATATGGAACTCGCATGTCTTGCAGGTGACTGTGGACAGCACTATTAACACCATAGATGTAAGAGTGAACGGAGAGGTTGTTATCATGCTAACTCATCATGTAAAGAATGAGCCTGTGACCTCAGAGCATGCTAATCTGGGAATTATCCTGGGTGACCTTCCAACAAATGGCAAAATTCAACTTCTCAGACCGGTACTGTCATCATTACACGTCTACAGTATTGAGCTAGACATGCATTGATAAAGCTAGCGAACAAGAAATGTTCACTAAACATGAAAATGTACTAATTTTATTTTATACATTTTTATTATTTTATTTATTTTAAGACAAAAGCATAAACAAAGGTAGAAGTACTCCCTCAAGAGTTGGTTCTGGCCAGCTCAGTGGATTGCTTTAAAAAGGCCTGGATTGTTTCTTAGATACACAGAATATAACTGGATACTAACATTTATAGGTAAAGTTGATCCAGGGAATATCAGATTGCCTCGCAGGGAATCAGGAAGGATTTTTTTTCACTGCAGGAGCAAATTGGATCATGCTTTGCTGGGGTTTTTTTTGCCTTCCTCTGGATCAACTGTGGGTATAGGATTATAACTTTTTTTTTAATGTTTGAACTGGATGGACTAACTATGTAAGTACTCATATATGTAGCTAGCTACCCTACGTTCGGCTCTCTAAATACGCTATTTGATGTTTTTCTAAAATCTGACTGTAACATTTGTCAGAGCAGGCATAACACAATAGCTATGTTTGTTCTGAGTGTTTAAAGCCGCATGCTTACTGGGAGTTTAGCCTCAGAGCATTGAACTCCGGGGGTTTAGGTGCCGGTGAAAGGCACAGGTGCTCCGTCCAACCCAACTTACGACAGCCTGTAATACTCTGAGTGGCTGACAGCGGCTGGACAGTGCACTGAATAGTGCAAACATTTAGGGCAGCATATGCCCAGAGGCCCATACCTGGAACGCAAGCAAACCAAGATAGAAAATATAGTGCTATCATAACTCTGATTAACATAAGTAATCCTATGAAAAATATATACATAAAGTAAAACATAACTATATAACCACACTTAAAAATTGTGTTCATTCAGATCCACCGCTTCCTCTTTGTGCTAATATAAATACAACATATATACTGTAACAGTCTTAATGCACAATTACTAGTCCCAAATTTAGCGCTCAAGTGAATATAAAGTGTTTTTTGCTGCTGATCTTCCACTTCGTCTTTGCATCAATGCTATATGTTGGCACTCCCCCCACTATACAGCCAGAGAAGTCAAATGGACTTCTAAGATGTTATCCAAAGCTGTGGAAAAGCTCCCAACTGGATCCTCCTACCATATATCTCCACTATCTTCCTCTTCCAACTGCAGTATACTTATCTTTTATTGCTACAAGCATTCAGTGGCTTCAGGTAACTTTCAGTGCCAGTCAGTCAGTGACATTCAATAGTTTAATAGTCTTCTAGTAAGCACAAATTTCAGATTTATGGCTATCCAGAGTTTAATCTATTCTGCTTTTCTTTGATGATATTCACAGTTTACCAGTGGCAAAACTAGAACCTTCAGGGCCTCGGTGCAAGAAACCATGAAGGGCCCCCTTGACTCCCGGCTGGAGCCCTTCCCTCCGAGCCCAGTGGCAGAATTGGCCCAGTTGCAAGTGCAACATTTGTGACCCTAGTAGTTCCGCCACTGGTGTCAGTAGTTTTTTTATTTTTGTTATTTTTTTAAACCATTTTTAAAGGTTTTTTTTTTTATTACAATATTTTTTTTTTTTTTAGGAGCCCTGTTGGGGGCTTTGGTGAAATATCCAGGATCTAAACAAACCTTTGATGTTTCATCTTTAGGACAGAAAATGGAGATTGAGGACACAGCCTTCAATAGCCTTCTCTGCATCCTCAGCTGCACAGAATGAATGGGCAGGAAAAGCTCTGTACAGAGCTTCTTGTCCATTCATAAACTGAAAGATAGTAAACACAGTTTATTATGTTTCAGTTAGGTACCAATCACTTACTGTCCATTCAGAAAAGGAAGACGCCGGTAAATTACACATTTACCACATCCTTCCTGTCTCTCCATTCTGAGATTCCCCATAGCAGTCAGCAGGAGAGGGGAGGGGGAAATCCAGCAGAACTGCAGGGAAGGAGGTGGAGAGCATGGGGGGGCAGAGAGCACGGGGAGGCAATAGAAATAAGCTGGATAGGAAGAGCAGCGAGGGTGCCTGCATGTAGAGGAATCGATCTCTCCATTTTCCTCTTGCAGCCGCTGAATGCTTGCGGGAAGGAAAGGAGGAGAAGCGGACATTCAAAGGGCTGCAAGAGGAAATGGGAGAGATCAATTCCTGCAGCTGCCCCCGCTGCTCCTCCTACGCAGGCATATAAGGGGGCCACACGGGCCCCCTGCAGCATAAGGTCGGGTTGCAATTGCGACCCCTGTAGGCACGCCACTGCAATTTACCTTGAACTCTACCATCTAGCTTTTCCTCTTACTACAATTAGGAGATTTCTATGGAGTGGTGTTGTCTCAATCATGGGTTAATCTTCATTCTATGCCATCACAGCTGCTCTTTGCGCTGGCTCACCACAATTCTGCACAACTTCTGGATACCTGGAATGCAAGCAGTCTACTTTCCAGGCATTTGTCCCAGGGTGCATACTGCCATAAATGTTAGTACCACTCCAGGCACTGTGCCTGTACCTTCCACCAGCACCTAAATGCCAGAGTCTCATGCACCAGGGCTAAATGCCCAGTGTTAATGAGGCCTAAAGTATATGTAAACTCTAAAGGCCAGCTGAAAGAGGGCATATGATAGACTGACATTGCTGCAATTAATTGAGAGGCAAGTGCATTTACTAGCAGATCAAGGTAAGAAACCTTTCAACAGATTTCCAAAATAATTTGCTTAAGAAAACAGTATACAGTGTGCCATGATGCCAAACTATAAAATACTGAAAATAAATTTAGGTTTTATATACAGGAAAATGCTATGAACAAAATCAATAAATCAGTTTTGAACAGATAACTTCAATTTACCCACAGTATATTTTACAGTACATCTTTTTAAGTCCATTACTAGTGGATAACTACTACTATGGATGGCCCAATCCCTCAAATGGTGCTGAAGTAGCCAGCAAAGACCAAGGGTATTCTTGCAGGAGAGGACCCTACAGGAACCCCCTTCACTGTTGCCCACATACTGTAAGTTTTACTGTGGTCCCTGAATAATAGATCTGGCTCTTTCTCAGAATGTTGGCCCAGAAAAGACTATGCGGGAAGTTTGTCTGCTTAGGTTTTCTGACCTGGTGATGAATAGATTGGTAAGGCCAAGCACTCAAGAAGTCTAGAGAGAATGGTGTGTACATGCAGTACTTGGAGGAGTTCAATGTCTGCATGATAAATCTGAGCCACATATGTGGAAAAACAGTTATACTTTCTGCCAGTGTCATTGATGTGAACTGCGTTCTCTTAGTTGAATCCTGCTCTAGATGCATGTATGACGAACTGGGCCTGGGTGAAAAAGAGCACAAAAGCTCTAGATGATGCAATGGAGACAGATGAGAACCGGCGGTGCTTTGAAAATGAGGAGCGAGGCACCTTCTTCCCTGCACAAGGATATGCCACCTTCAAGCCTACTTGTAAGTCATATTTTTTTTTCTACAGTGCTGCTAAACTTTGACCTTCAACAGTACAGGTTTTCATAACTTTGGGTTAGCAGCACAGTGTTGCTGGCTACTATTAGTTTGAGGGCCCTGCCATACAGTTTTTTGTCTTGTTGTCAGCTTGTTGTATTACTAGGTCTTCAAAATGTTTCCAAGGGCCAAAAACCTTGGATTGCTTCCAGTGCACTGCAAGACAATATATTTTTGTTACAGTGTGCCTGAGAGTAGGTATATTTGTTTTGTTTGTGTGAGCTGGGGTGCCATAGAAAAATTAATGGAAACACACAACCTGCATACACCTGTCTGGTGAAAAGCATTGTCGGCAGACAACACGTAGGAGTAAATCTCTCAACTGGAGCTCCAGGTAGCAGTAAATACTCCCAGAAGCTCAGATTTTTGGCATGATCAGTCATGTTTTTAATATCAATGTCACAGTGTCACAATTGCTATGAGGGTATGTAATCTACCTCTATATTAAGCAAACGATCACTAGGATTAGGAGGACAACTTTGCCTACACCTTGACAAAGAGGTCAGAATAGACCATATTTCTATTCTTGTAGATTCAATTAAGCCTGGCTTAAAATATAACTAAAGGCAAATGTTTTTCTTTGTTTTGGGCAGAGTGGAGATAGCTTAGAACACCTGTCAATTTTGGAAGATAAAACCTCTCTATATGTCATGTTTACTGCCATCACCAAAGGTGAAAGAAAATCCCAAGTTTTGGGTTGTTCCCAGAACAGGAATAGAGGGGAAATCTTCCAATGGGGGGACACTAGGAATTTCCTTTCATGTCCTGTTGTGAATATGGAACATGAAGTTATGGGAAATCTCCACAATGGGAAACAGATGGGAAAATAAAAACTGACAGGGGATATAACCTCCCTTACTCTAAAGAAAAAGGTTTTGGCTTTAGTTTTACATTAAGAAATAAATTAAAACCACTACAACTTGATACAGAAACTATTTAAATGGTAATTTCAAGATTGTATTTATATCAATATATTTATTTTTTGTTTGTATCAAAAATGTTCAATAAAGGCTAAGTGGTTTGTTTTCTGTTTCTTATGTTTCCATGTTTTATCTGGTGTATTACTTTTGTCTTTCTGCTACATTCCTCTGTAATCATTTCTTCTGGGTCAATCATAGCATTCCCATTACATACACATGGACCCTGGCATCTATCGTTTCAACTGTCATTCCGAGTCCTAGAGGATGGTGGGCTCCTCTTGGCCTTATATGGTGCAGGCAACACCTCAGCATTGACCATAACCTTGGATGGTCAGAAACAGGTATACACAACACTAACCTGTTGCAATTGGGCTGACTAATAAAACTGGGTAAAAGAACAGAAAGGGAAAAAAAGTTGTTAAATACAGAAACCAGTGGTAAAATGTCAGATTTTTCTAAGCTGTAGAATGGACTGTAAATTATTATTATTATACAGTATTTATAAAGTGCCAACAGTTCGCTCAGCGCTGTACATTACAATGGGAGACAATACATGAGACAGTACAATAATAATACAATGTGATACATGAGGGGTTCGAGGGCTGTGGAAAGTTTCATTTCTCTGGCTTTTAATAATAAACCATAATATTAAATGTTTATTTTTTGTCTGCTTTTAATTACACTTGTTCATCCTTAGGTACTAGAAGCCTCTCTACTGGACAAACTAGCACATTCCGTTACCTTCCCACCTGGTATTTGCCTCAAAGACTGGCACACTGTGGATGTTCAGATACAGGAAAATCAGCTTGTGCTGAAGACGGAGGAAGCAACATCCTCCATGGACATACCACCTGCTGATTTCAAAGCTCTGGAAGATACTTGGGTGGATCCTAATGCATACATTTCAATTGGAGGCATGGCAGGTAAATGATGACCCTCAAGTGCCTAGATGTCTGACTTCTGGATTTTCCGCATGCTTATATTCCCATTTTATATTGTGCAGTGGTATATATACACTATATTGCCAATAGTATTGGGACGCCTGCTTTTACACGTACATGAACTTTAATGGCATCCCAGTTTTAGTCCGTAGGGTTCAGTATTGAGTTGGTCTACACTTTGCAACTATAACAGCTTCAACTCTTCTGGGAAGGCTGTCCACAAGGTTTAGGAGTGTGTCTATGGGAATGTTTCACCATTCTTTCAGAAGTGCATTTGTGAGGTCAGGCACTGATGTCGGGGCGAGAAGGCCTGGCTCGCAGTCTCCGCTCTAATTCATCCCAAAGGTGTTCTATTGGGTTGAGGTCAGGAACACCCCAAACTCACTCAACCATGTCTTTATGGACCTTGCTTTGTGCACTGGTGCTCAGTTGTGTTGGAACAGGAAGGGCCATCCCCAAAACTCTTCCCACAAAGTTGGGAGCATGAAATTGTCCAAAATGTCTTGCTGATACCTTAAGAGTTGCCTTTACTGGGACTAAGGGGCCAAGCCCAACTCCTGAAAAACAACCCCACACCATAATGCCCCCTCCACCAAACTTTGCACTTGACACAATGCAGTCAGGCAAGTACCGTTCTCCTGACAACCGCCAAACCCAGACAAGTCCATCGGATTGCCAGACAGAGAAGTGTAATTTGTCACTTCAGAGAACACCTCTCCACTGCTCTAGAGTCTAGTGGTGGTGTGCTTTACACCACTGCATCCGATGCTTTGCATTGAACTTGGTGATGTTAGGCTTGGATACAGCTGCTTGGCCATGGACACCCTTTCCATGAAGCTCTCTACACACTGTTGTTGTGCTAATCTGAAGGCCACATGAAGTTTGGAGGTCTTTAGCTATTGACTCTGCAGACAGTTGGTGACTTCTGCGCACTGTGCGCTTCAGCATGTACTGACCCCACTCAGTCATTTTATGTGGCCTACCACTTCGTGGCTGAGTTGCTGTTGTTCCCAGTTGCTTTCACTTTTTTATAATACCACTAACAGTTGACCATGGAATATTTTGTAGCAAGGAAATTTCACAGATGGACTTATTGCACAGGTGGCAACCTAGCACGGTACCACACTTGAATTCACTGAGCTCCTGAGAGCGACCCATTCTGTCACAAATGTTTGTAGAAGCAGTCTGCATGCTAGGTGCTTGATTTTATACACCTGTAGCCATGGAAGTGACTGGAACACCTGAATTCAATGATTTGGAGGGTTGTCCCAATACTTTTGGCAATATAGTGTATAATGAAAAGGGTCCTTTAATTTAAATAAATCTTGGCACTCCTACTCATGACAGCTTCCATATATAAACATCAACAAATATATCATCCATATTTTGCATGTATTGTTCTGCTGAATAAAGCATGTCTCTTAAGATTTACAGTGAGGTTCAAAAAGTTAGATATACACTCACCGGTAACTTTATTAGGTACCAGGTCAGACTCCCTTTTTGCCTTTATTAGGTACACTTGCTAGTACCGGGTCAGACCCCTTTTGCCTTCAGAACTGCCTTAATTCTTTAAGGCATAGATTAACAAGGTGTTGAAAACATTCCTCAGAGATTTTGGTCAATATTGACAAGAGTTACTGTTGCCATTTTATCATCTCGAACCAATCTGCCCATTCTCCTCTAACATCAACAAGGCATTTTTGTCCACACAACTGCTACTCACTGGATTTTTTTCTCTTTTTCGGACCATTCTCTGTAAACCCTAGAGATAGTTGCGTGTGAAAATCCCAGTAGATCAGCAGTTTTTGAAATTCTCAGATCAGCCCGCCTGGCACCAACAACCATGCCACTTTCAAAGTTACTTAAATCCCCTTTCTTCCCCATTCTGATGCTCAGTTTGAACTTCACCAAGTCATCTTCACCACGTCTAGATGCCTAAATGCCTTGATTTTCTGCCATATGATTGGCTGATTAGCAATTTGTGTTACCAAGCAATTGAACAGGTGTACCTAATAAAGTGGTTGGTGAGTGTAAATAGGCTGCTATATCAGGTTTACCATCAAAAGTGTTTTTACTAATGGCTTCATATTACACACTCTCCTGGTGTTTTAATGCATTTATCTGGTAGCAAAATGCAAGGGACGTGGTGCAAGGGGCTATCCTCTGGAATACTCTTGTTTTGGGGCTACTTCCAGTACAGCTGGAAATGCTACTTATTTCTTTTAGCATAATTAAGGCATGTCAAGCTTTATATATCATGTGTATCATTGCTGCATGAAGAGGATTTTAAAGTTAAATCCCAAAACTATCACATAACATATTGTAGCTTACCTTTTCCTAGATGTGTTGACAACATTTTTTTTTCCCAGGCATTTTTCCCTTTATTTTTACCTGGTGATCCAGCCGGGAACAAACATCCTGTGGTAGATTGACAATGCTCACTTACCATACTGTATCTATAGAGTAGCAGTGTTGTCACCTTAGGGTTACACCTTTTCCTCCTCTCCTCATCTCCATTACATGGGGGGACAAGGATTTGTGTAGCTGATAAAATTGTTTGAGATTTTAGTCTAGTACACAAGAAAACTATTGCAGCTCCCACATTTAAGAACTGATAAGCGGGAATTTCTTACATTTTTATTCTTGGGTTTAGATGCATTTTAAGAAGAAAACTTGGTTTACGGCAGTTTTGCAGCCAAGTTGCGGGAGGTGTTGGACCTCGCACAATGTCCACTTGCCTGTAGGCCAAACAGTGCTAATCGTAAATTTAACGCAGAGCCAAATACTTTTTTTTTCATTTTGGATAGCGTAAGGAAGGGCTATTACCCCACTTAGTTTTTATTTTTTTTTCATCTATGTATTATTGTGGAGATCTCCCTTCATTTCTTTTTCTGTTTAGCAAAAACTGAAAGTGGGAGGAAATCCCTCCAAAAGTCTGGGAATCCCAGGTTATTACCAAGGTCACCAGTGTCCCCATTGAAAGGTTTCCCCTCAGTTGCTCTGGTGATGACCAAAAATGTGTGATTTTCTGTCATTTTCTATTTTGTTGATAATGGGTAAAAAGAGCAAATACAGAGGCTGCATTTCCTTAACAGGCAGACATCAATAAAAACCTGACAGTTTGTTCTAATCCCTTTTCATTCTATCCAAAACAAATAAAGTTTTGCCTTTAGTTAAACTTTAACCGCTTCCCAACTGCCCTATAGCAGAAATACTGCTACAGGGCGGCACAGGTGCGCAAAATCACATGTATATATACGTGATTTTGCAGTTCCAGGTAGGGGGTGAGCGTGCCCTAACTGCGCCACCATTTGCGGCTACAGCTGTTAATCATCGGGTCCCGGAAGGTGATTACCCACCAGTGCCTGGTGGTTACCGACAATCACTGACTGGGAGGAGGGCTGCTTGGTTTACCAACAGTCATCCTCCCTCTCAATTTGGGCACACTGCTCTGGATGGCTGTGCACAGAGCATGCATTCATGGCAGTGTGCTTACAGTGAAGCACACACCCCCTACCCCCTAGTTAAACACTCCGAGCGCACAGTTAGCGCTTTGATCGCCCCTCATGTTAACCCCTTCCTGCTCAGTGCCATTAGTACAGTGTCAGTGCTTTTTTAGCACTGATCACTGTATTGGTGTCACTGGGGATGTCAAAGACACCAAGTCAGTTCCCCCTAGTGTCAGAATGCCTGCCACAGTACCGCAGTCCTGCTATGAGTTGCTGATCGCCGCCATTATTACGAAAAAAACCCAAAAAATTCCAGTATCTATGCCACCATTTGAAAACACTATAACTTTCACGTAAACCAATTAATTTACACGTATTGGGAATTTTTTTTAGCAAAGACATATAGCAGAATGCATTTTGGCCTAAATTTATGATGAAATTTGATTTTTTTTTTTTTTTAAATTTTTACTGCACATGTTTAAATATTGTTTTTGGTCTTGTGAGACCTTCATAAGAAACAACAAACAGAGGGTAATTCTATATTATTTATGAAACATCCCATCATTTTTTTTTTAATTCAAAGTTATTTTATTTTCCTATCTCTGCTTATAATTTGCGATGTCTTTTTCAGAATATTCAGATCAAGGAAACCTTTTTTCAGGGTGTATGAAGATCAGTCTGCAAGGAACAGCCGCAAACCTGGATACGGCCGAGTACAAGCACCCTCATGTCCGCAGTCACAGTTGTCCCATAGCAGAATAATTAGGACCCCAAAATATGATGCAGGATTCCTAAAATACTGATTTTTATAAATTTTTTTTATAGAATATTTCTTTGTGTTGTTATATCCAAAAAGCTTTATGGTTTGTTTCCCTAAGTCAAACAATTTTTAAGTTGGCCTTATGGTGAAACTGTAAGTATAGTTCAAGTTTCCCAGTGGGATACTAGGATCTATCATATTAGCTTTGTGGTGGGCATTGTGCATGCAGTTAAAGAATAATGGCCCTTCCAATTGCCATTGGCTCACACATATTGGCCAGTGCTTTTTCTGTCTTATATTGATTAATATTTTGCCCAATTCTTAGTGAACAGCCTTTTTGGAAACAAAAAAAATGGATGGTTCCAGGGGCAGACTGACCATTTGGAAACTCGGGCACTGCCTGAGGGCCCGGGGTCAGTAGGGGGCCCCATGAGATGCCCCTGGTACCCTTTTCATAGGCTTTTTTTTAGTTTGGGCAAGGACACAGTGGCCCCATGATCCCCTATTGCCCAGGGGCCCCATGAGTTGTCAGTCCGCCCCTGGATGGTTCCATTATAAAATAAGTGCACAACACATTGTACTTAAGCTCCATAGCATTTATCATTGTTAGTTAATACTGTAGCTTCTTAAATATAAATATAATACTATGTAATACGTTGTATTAGTAATACCTGAGTATAGAACTAATCTACAAATACTCAACTGTTTCTAGCTCTTGGCATGATATTCTATATTCAAATCTGTACAATTTGAACAGCAATAAAATATA